GCACCCTATTTTTACCATCTTTTACTCCAGTCTTCTCTCCCGTTTCTCTTCCATCTTCTGCTATCCCCTTCTGCCTCTTTTTTCGTTTCAGCCCCATTTTTCCTCTCTTCTTCATTTCAAAAGCTCTAGCTCTCTCCTTTCATGGAGGTCTAAATCATAATATAAAAACACCACATTTCTTTTACTTCTCACTGGTTCTCATTTGGGTTGTTTCTTTGTTCTTCCCTCATCTAACCCCTCAAAGCCCTAATGCGATTGAAACGCCATAATCGGTCCGGTGAAGATCAAGTGTACAGGGAGTGAAGGTTTGGTGACCGAATGCCTCATCCCTCTCTTCTATCTCTCTGGTCTGTAACCGTCCCATCCAGTATGTCCCCTTCTTCCTTATTTCGTTTTTCTTTCAATTTTTTTACTTCATGTGTTATATTTGTAGTAATGTTGAATGTTTGATTATTTTGTGTCATTGAGATAAATTTGTGATGATTATTGTTGAAATTTTTATCCAAATATACCATGTTATCACTATGCCCATAACATGTTTGTTGAAATGATTCAATGAATTTTATGTTTATGTGATACTATGTTTGATGACTTTAAGATTTTGTTTTATACTTTTCCAATTCAAAATAGGTATAGTGGTGTTTTTTAACTACTTTAATGTTTTATTGTTGTAAATTTGCTATTTTGTATTTTGAAATTTAGTGTTAAACCTTAGCCAAATTAGGTTTTATAGCAAAAGAGTTACAAATTGGCTCCTTTGTTGGATTTGATCAAGAAAGAGTTACAAATGGGCTCCTTTGAGGTTGAAGTTCAACTTGCGGGTTGTATCTAGAAAGTTACTCCATTGATATGATTAGGTTTGGAGTCTGGAGACATTATGTTCCCTGGACTTGCTAGTTTCTTTTGCTTTTAGGCATGCTCTCTTCTATTATCTTGTATTTTTTACACTAAACAGTTTTTGCTTTAAGAAAAGGGGGAACACACACATACTCATACGTGACTATTTGAGTAGTCCTCTTGGATTCTTTTGAAATATACCTTAGTCCAAATGCATATGCAAATGCAAAAAAACATATAAAGTAGATATGGGTTCATGGCTCTGGAATATTGTTCACTGTTATAGTCTGCTTTAAGCATTAGGGCTATACTAGGTATTCTACGACTTATTGACATTCCGGTCTTGTAATGTCCAGTGCATAAAACATTGTGCTATGAAGTATTTCTACAATTGGTATTGTACTCAGTATGAATGTGAATGTTTGTAGTTAGAAAAGGAACTCTTGCATTTTTGTGTGGTTTGAAGTTGGAGTGGGATTGCATATATTGTATTTGATGAAAGAACATTTTTTGGGTTGCACATACAATTATTTCTATGTGGAATAAAATAGAAATATTGATGTTTGGTTAGCATAAGTGGAGGTCACCTTGTGGATTTATGAAACCTATCATTCTTCTCTTTGTTATTTCATTATGATAATATACCATTTTATATTACTTCATTATGGACTTGCACAGGAGTGTACTCCTTCCGGTAGGATTAATCTCTTCTCTAGTAGTGAAGACTGAAACTTTTAAATCAGGTTATTAAGATGGGCAATAAAGACCTCAAATTCACATGGTCACGAGATGGAGGAGCCTATGTGTCACACGTTTGAAGAGCGCCAAAGTGGTGATCATGGAAATGACTTGCTAGTATACTCGGATAGTGTTGGGAGAATGTGGACAAGATTCACATGGTCTCAAGATTCATGCTCTTTATTATAGTTATGTACCCCCACATGTAATTAGATTTGTGAAGATTCAGATGACCAATATGGTGATAATGTATTTTACATATAATGTATTATAGCTCTGTCTAACAGACAATATTTATGTGTGCCAGACAATTCATGCTTGACTTTTTGGCATTGGAGTTTTGTCTGACAGACAATATTTGTCTGTGCCAGACATTTTGTGTCTGGGTTGGTAAAAGAGTTAGGTCGGACAGACAATATTTGTATGTATCAGACATTTCGTGTCTGGTCCTATCAAAAGAGTTATGTGTAACAGACAATATTTGTGAATGCCAGACGTTTCGTATTTGGTTTTGGCAAAGGAGTTTTGTCTAATAAACAATATTTGTCTGTCTAGCAGAAGCAATTGTCTGTCTGGACTCTGGCAGCATGAATTGTGTTTTGTGGCAGTGAATTGTCATGTACTATATTTTGTGAATTGAACATTATTATCCTGTAGTAACGTAATGTTTGTGAATGATAACGGGTTGGATGGAAAGGTTAGTTTCTTATGAATTATCAACGTTAGTTTGCTTCGAATTATAGACAGACAATGCATATACGTACACATACAATAAACATAACCGGACAGACTTAATGTGTCGAGCAAAACACCGACAATACATGTATGTTAAACGTAAAATAGTACACACACAGACAAATAAAAATGAAGTCTACAACACTCTACGCATCTTCCTTCTTCAAGCGCCAAAGCCGAATACCCTACTCAAGTCTTTTGTTCGACATGTTGCCATAGTCGCAATCAGGAAGCAATGATTTCCATTGGAGTAGCTGCTCTGCAAAAGCAAGGACCATCACGCCACATTCACCCAACCTGTAAACAGACAAAATTATCCCAGACAGATAGTTACAACACTTACACAGACAATAAATGTTATTCATATTAATATTGAATTTCATACGATTCTTTTAGTTGTGGCACACCATCCACAGCTACTGCTTTCCACGGTTGCAAATCACTGTCATTCGTACACAAACCCGTGGCACGAACTAGGTATGGCAGCCGCTCACACAAGTCCTTAGCATAAAATGGAGTCCTAGAAGTCTTAAGCGAGTCGTAAACTCTAACCAGTCTGCTCCGAATCACAACTTCCACCAAGATCCAATGCTTTTTTTCAATATTTAAAGGAAACAAAACCTGCCAAGAATTAACAATTCATCAAAAATGCTAGGTGTTCTATCGAGACAGACAAAATACTAGCGAAATAATAACAGACAGACGTTTACAAAACTTAGACAGACAATACCCTAAAAAAACTTTTCCAGTCCAGCTTTTTCAGGTATTTATCTCCATGCCAATGTGTGTCGTTGCCTATCTCTTTCTTAAGGATTTTATGCTACAAACATAACATGAAAAATTGTAAGGCTACTAAAAAGATCAAAACACGGGGGAAAAAAAGGTGCATACCACAACGTAAGGGCTGATCAAAGTCACCGTATGCGCACAGATGCTTTTATTGTAAGGCACTGTAAGGCTACTAAAAAGATCAAAACACGGAAAAAATCAGATGCATTTGCATTTTCCTCCTACATTTAATTGTAAAGGACATACAGACAGACAAATAATATATCAGACAGACAAAAATAAGGGAAAGACAGACATTCACAATAAAACTTACTTCCACATGCTTCTCAATTTCAGCTAGAGAAGCATGAACCTCATCAGAAGGTACAAAAGCATTCATATGAGCTGCATTTGCATTTTCCACCTACATTTAATTGTAAAGGACATACAGACAGACAAATAATATATCAGACAGACAAAAATAAAGGAAAGACAGACATTCAGAAAAGCATTGAAAGGGGAAACATGTTCTATTGTTGGAAACACAATAAAACTTACTTCCACATGATTCTCAAATTCTGCTACAGATTCATGAACCTCATGAGAAGGTACAGAAGCATTCATATCACATGCGACTACATTTGCCACCTACATTTAATGGTAAAGGACATACAGACAGACAACAATTATATGCACACAAAATGAGACAGACAACTCAATAAGAATGACAGACATCTATGTATCACAGCACAGACATTTAAAAATTCTTCACAGACAGCTCACAACACAAGACAGACAAGGATATATGAACAACAAATAAATGAAAACATGACAGACAATTATAAAGTTGTTACAGACAACTCAAAACAAATGACAGACAACTGAAAACACGAGACAGACAATTCTAAGCACTTGACAGACAACTACAAAAAAAAGACAGACACAGGAATATGAATGACAGACAATTCAGAACATGTCATAGACATCTCAAAACACACTAACAACATATCAGACAACTCTTAAATCACATAAAGAAAATTAGATGTAGTTTAATTAAATCAAATCAATTATGGTAAGGTGAGTACTGCACAAGGATGAAAATATTACCTTTTAGCAAGATCGGTTAAACTTGTTCGCACCATGGCTTCAAAGTTATCGTCTTTTTAGTTGAACTTGGACCAGCGCCTCGTAGAGAGTTGGAGCAGAGCAGTCAGGAGGATGGGTAAGCGCCTCATAGAGTTGGAGCAGAGCACCAGGCGGATGGGTAAGCACCCTGACCTCGGTTGGATGGATGCTTCGGTTGGCGTCGCGAGGAACGAGGAGTAGCGCCTGGAGGTACGACCTTCGTTTCTCCAGAGCAGAGCAGTCCGGCGTAGATGGATGCTTCGGTTGTCGTCCGGCGTCGCTGGATGGGTTCGGCGTAGATGGTGTCGCTGCCTGTCCGAATCGTGGAGTGGGTGCGGGAGTATGGGGCGGGAATTGGGATGGATGGAAGACAAAAGAAAATAGGGTAAAAATTTGAGTTGGGAAGGAGAGAAAGTGAGGTAAAAAAAAGGGAAAATATTTAAATGGGGTGCCAAGGGTGTACATACCCTAGCATTTTTCTTCCCAATAACTCACCTCTTGAATTTATATGGAAGATAATCCGATCAGCCCAATCGCTGCCGTGCACGTGCCGCCATCTTGCTGTGACGGTAATCGCCGGCACCGGAGATCTGCTAATCCCATTCTCACTGAACAAGTCTTCTTCTTTAATACACACATTTATCCAAATTAAGCTAAACAAAGGAGAAATTTGTTTTGTATACTTCGCTTTAACGACAGCGACACCACACGTTTCCTTTCGCTATCAATTCCTTCGACCATAAGTTGTATTCCCTCCCTCTATTTCCTCACCGGCATCATCATCCTATCCTGTGCCACATCCACGATCTTCTGCGTTACTACGTATGTCTCTTTTTTCTTTTACTTTTCATTTTTCGTTTACGCAGAATACATGAACATATATGTTGTAGATCTGGTTGAATAATGTTTGCTTTCATTCCATTATGAGTTCGTGTGTGTTGTATTCTGATGGTGGTTCATCTTGTGATCAATCCGGTTTTTGAGATTTGGGATGAAACGTATCAGTTTATGTTTACTTATTTAGTAGCGAAGGTTTGGGTGTTCGAGATCTAGTGGGTTTTGTTATGATGAGGAAAAGTTTGGATTATGATTTATGCATGGATTACATCGTTGTACATTAATTCTTTATTGCAACTCTAGTTTGTACAAGAGCATCGACTCTGCTGTGTTTGGGACACTTTTGTAATCCACTCAATTAACATTGTGGGTTCCTAATCTGATGGAATCAAATATATTTTTACTGTAAACTTGCATCCACATGCATCTCAAGAAACTTCATTCTGTCTTTACCAAGCTGTAAGTGATTTGTTATACCACATTGAAGGATCTGTTGCGTCTTAGGGTACTGTGACCATAATAACTTGCAATGTAATGTTTCAGTGAAAATTATACTGAAAATTACATTGTATACGATTTTACAAAACATCACCTTATTTCTTCTATTGTTCTGCTTGGGCCAAGTATGATGTTGAACCTCTTTGACCAAGTTCGAATAGTTTTCACTTGTGATACTTGTCAAAATGATGACTTTGTTTTTGGAAGGAGGAAAAAACAATGCTTATAATACTGGCTGGTTTAGCATTCACAAATATCATGTGCTTTTTTCCTTCTGAAAGAGTAATATGATCCACATCTAGAGACCACATTCTTGGCTTATGAGCCACATTCTTATTACTGGCTGGCATAAGTTTTGGCTTATGAGCCACATTCTTCGGCAAACACGAACTTTTGTTATTGCCTCGCCTGATAATTAAAAAAAAAAATGCTTTAGTTACAATCGTATGTTTTTTTTTGCTGAAATGGATCGAAGAGATACTTTTGTCTTTTTAGATATCATATCCTTAAATGTATACCTTAAAACTTTTATTAGGCAGTTTCAGTCGCATCATGAACGCATTCACCCACTTTCTGCATTTTGAACCTTACCAAATGGACTTCTTAATTTTATAACATGAGTTGATAGTCGTCAACTCACTTTGCTTTACTTTATTATATTTTTCTGTCCGGTTTGAAGTATTGATGATGCAAAGGTTTGCTCAAATTCTTTCAAAATTTGAAATATTCAATACACACACATATATATGTGTGTATGTGTGTGTGTCTATATTTATATATTCACATAGTATTCATTTATACTCTCTTCTTCAAGGAAGCTCTTGTACTAATGAAGTTCAAATGAATCAGGTACTTGAATTGCAAATTTATTGAAAAGTAAAGTTATGTCTTTGGACAGCAAAATATCATCACCTCATAGGAGGACACAGTTACAGACGGCATTCTCAGTCTCGCCATCCCTCATGAAACAAAGCTCTCGAGGCGATGAGCATGAACTCGGGAGTTGTACAACCCTATTCCACCGCCACCGCTTCCTCTTGATCGCCCTCGGCCTTCTGGCATTTCTTTGTACCATATATCTCTACTTTGCGGTCACCCTTGGGGCCGCCGGCAGTGGCATGTGTTCTGGATATACTGGCACGGAGAAAGTGGCTTGCCATTTGGAACATGGGAAGGCATTTGCCAAAGGAAAATTGAAATTCTTCTAGCAATATAATTTGATGGTGGTCTTGATCAGGTGTATCACCAGGATTGTCCCATAGCTTGATTATTTAAACCGTAACACAGTCGGCAAAACATTTGTATTTATTTATCCGCTAAACTAGCATCCGTTTATATTTATTATTAGGGAAAAGGAACATATATGTCCCTCTAGTATAAGCTTTGGAACACATATGCCCTTATACTATTTCTTAGAACAAAAAGCTTATGAATTCCTAAATTTGGTCTAAAAATACCCTTCACTCCGGATCCATTAAAAATCGAGGCAAAGGTCAGATTGGCACATGAAGTTGCATAAAAAGAGTCAAATAAGTCCTTATATATGAGGCTCTGTCAAGCCGTCATCATTTAGCGTGGTTCCTGATGGAATTTTTTGAACATCTTATTCATTAAATCTAGTTTACTCATACCAAATTTCAGCTAAAAATTTAACCGCGAAGGCATTCAAATGAATTTTTGAAGGTAATTGCGCACTTAAAACTTAAAAGCGTAGTTATCTTCAAGAATTCATTTGAATGCTTTCCCGATTGAAGTTTTAGCTGAAATTTGGTATGAGTAAACTAGACTTCATGAATAAGATGCTCAAAAAATTTCATCAAAAAATTCCACCGGAAACCGCCTCGCCATTTGAGTCAGATTAGGTAAGAGTCAGATTGGTACTTCAAGTACCAATCTGACTCTTACCTAATTAAAAATCCTTCCATCAATTAGGATTTCAGTACTTGAAGTACTTCAATTATACAACTTCAAGTACCAATCTGACTCTTACATAATTAAAATACTTCAAGTACTTGAAGTATTTCAATTATGGGCTTACCTAATACTTGAAGTACTTCAAGTACCAATCTGACTCTTACCTAATTAAAAATCCTTTCATCAAATCTCAAATAGCTATAGCGGTCAACATTCTTCACTAATTAAACACTACACAAACGTATAAAACGTATTTATCTTACTACGCATTACATTGTGTTGGTTTTAAGTTTTGTCTGATTTTGCATTTACATCAGATTTATAACTATGAAATATAAATTTCCTAACTATGAGTCAAAGAGCAATTTTTCTCAAATAGAAGCAAACTATTGATGTATGTTTCATTCTTTTAATAGTACAAAAAAAATCCTACTTTGAAAGGGAAAAAAACATGCATTCAATGCTCATTCTGTAATACCAAAATCAGCTGATTCTGCTGAATTTTATGAAATTTTAGCTGGAGTGGCTGAATTGGCTGATTCTGCTGATTTATTAAAAAAAATTATATATAAAAATATATTTTATTAATAAGATAAAGAAAAAATTACAAGTAAAATATCTAAAATGGTCCTCTATAGTAACTTCAGTCAGAAAAGTAACTATAATCTTACTTTTTCTTATTATTACACAATTTAGGCGCGTAATCGAAAGTTACATGTTTGATGAAAAATTTGGCTAATAAATAAGCCTGATATGTCGAAAAACCGAGTTACTAAACGAGCTCTCAATTTTAAAACTTTCATATATTTTACCTATAAAGTAGGTATTAACACACATATATTCATATTCTAATTTTTGGAATAAAAAACTTTTAAAATCAAAGGTGGGTCTAAAACTACCCCCATCTAACGTTTTTGGGAAAAGGTGCAAATAGGCCCATGTACTAACCAAAAAAGGTCAAATAAGCCCTTATTTAGGAAGTTCTATCCGGCCGTCGTCATTTTTGGTGGTTCCCGGTGGAATTTTTTTATGAATTTTTTTGAGCATCTTATTCATCAAGTCTAGTTTGCTCATACCAAATTTCAGCTAAAACTTCAATCGGGAAGGCATTCAAATGAATTCTTGAAGATAACTGCGCTTCTAACTGCGCAGTTATTTTCAAGAATTCATTTGAATGCCTTCTCGATTGAAGTTTTAGCTGAAATTTGGTATGAGCAAACTAGACTTGATGAATAAGATGCTCAAAAAATTTCATCAAAAAATTCCACCGGGAACCACCTCAAATGACGACGGCTGAACAAAACTTCCTAAACAAGGGCTTATTTGACCTTTTTGGTTAGTACATGGGCCTATTTGCACTTTTTCACAATGTTTTTTTATAATAATTTCTAACATTTCCAGAATTCGTTTGAAGAATTATATATGAATACATACAAATATTGAAAATAACTACATCGTGATTAGAGATCCTCTATTTCTTCCCCTATTGAGATTTGGATTCTAAAAGGCAAAAAGTAGCATGGCCTGAATGATTCAAACTTGCTCTTATTCTTGATTGGAAGTAGTACTCACATTATGTTGCTAAAGTTTCAATAAAGTTAATTTCTATATATATCAAAGGGTCGTTAAATATGGGCGGCTCAACTAAGCAAATTTAGAAACCATAAGTTCAACGAGGCTTTGCAAATACAAAAGTCTCAATTATTGGATCCTCACTGCTTTGATTATTGAAAAAATAGCATTTGCAGCAGCTACCCATCCCATTGTTAAAATTTTCATTTCAATGTTCTTTTGCCGAGTGCTATAGCCATGGAGAAGACACAATGACCGAGGAATGTTGACTAGCTTTTTTGAGATTTGACGGAAATATTTCTAACGACCACGAATGAAGGGTGTTTTTGGACCAAGTTTTGGAATGTACTCCCTCCGTTCTCTATTAGATGTCCCCATAGGGTTTGGCACAAGTTTTAAGAGAAAAATAATAGGGATAGTGGAAAAGGTGTGATGTGTTGTGTGTAAAGGAAAAAGTAGGAAAGAGAATGAAAAAGTAGGAAAGAGAATGAGGGTAAATGAGTATATTTATTGAAAAAACTTACCAAAAATGGAAAGGGAGACAATTAATAGAGAACATCCCAAAAAGGAAAGAGGGCCAAGTATTAGAGAACGGAGGGAGTATAAATTTTTTGTTCTAACAAATAGAATAAGGGCATATATGTTGCAATGTCTATAGTTAAAGGATATATTTGTTCCTTTTCCCTTATTATTACTACGTATTATTTTTACAAACAAAACAAGATGCCTTGATTTTTCAATTAACTTGTGGTGGACCTGGTGGTTATTGGTTATTGGTTAGTCTATATGAATTTTTATAAAAGACTATAAATCATGATTTTTCATTAAACCGTGGATGCGTAAAATCATATCCTTCCTTAATCTGCACAAAATGTTTTTTAACGAGTAAATGCGTTTTTTGAATATTGGTATTGCATTTACTAATAAAAAGAAATTGTTCGGCCCAAGAATGATTGAAAGAGTACATTACAATTTGCTTGTTAAGTCTTCTACATACAGTATTTTACATCTTGCAAGATTAAGATTGGTTGAGGACAAGAAAAGCTTAAGGGTTGGGGAATTTTCTATGAAAGAATGGCTAAAATATTACTGAACTTTACATGGACAAAAATATAATCATTTTATACTTGGACAAAAAGCGACCATTTAAAATAAAAAAGTTTGGGTCTGAAACAAAGAAACGACTGTCATCTCCACACCTTCGACAAAAATCGTGTCCTTCATATACATTCACTCATCACCGCCCAAACTCCACAGCTACTCACGCTCGCTCCCAACAAATTCTCTGTCATCTTCGCCCATCACCACCGTCTGTCAATTGCATCGCCAACACCGCCGCCTAAATCTTCTTCTTCTCCTTTCTTCATCTCCATTGTTGAATTCCCAACAAATTCTCCTAAGTCTTAACATCCATCTTTCCGATCTGTGATGAGTTTCCAGATCTAGATCTCCATTGCCTTCTTCATCGTCCCCAGCGACGAATGATGTTTCCAAGGCTGATGAAGATCTGTGACGGCGGCGTTGGGCGACGACACAGCTGGGTCTCGTCGATAGAGGTTCTACGAAGGTTGGGAACTTATAGTAGGGGCTGGTGGGGGTTGGGATGCAGCGTTACTGGGTGGCGCTGGGATGAGGCGTTGCTAGGCGGTGTTGGGTGTGGTGGTGCTGGGTGGGGCTGAGGTGCGGCATTTCTGGGTGGGGCTGGGGAACGTGGGAGTGGGGCTAGGGCCAAGGAGTTTGGGCTGGGAGTTGGGGAGGAGGAATAGGCGGTGTATAGGGTGACGGTCGTGGAGGCGGCGGCGGGGCGGCGGGCGGCATCTCCGCTGGGCAGATTTGTTTGATAATTTTTGTTGTAACTAAGTGATACTATTTGTGTCATTGTGGTGGTGGCACTGTGGCTGGAGTCACTGTGTTCAGCGGCGGAGATGTCATTGTAGCCGGCGGCGGAGATGTCCTTGTAGCCGGCGGCGGAGATGTCACTGTGGCCAGAGGTTGGGGGTGGAGATGCCACTGGGGAGATGTCACTATGGAGTTGTTACTGAGGATGTGTGATAGTGTGAGAGTGAATTATAGTACAATCATCCAACAGGAAATCATCAAAGTACAATAGCTAGAGGAGGATAACTAATCAGAATCTACTGCTAAGGCAGGGGGGGGGGGGGGCTGGTATCCCTCAAAGAATGAGCGCCAACTAGTCTCCAAAGTAGTGAGGCGGTCATCAATGCCCGTATATTGCGAGCACAGCTCGGTGTACTGCGTCTGTTGTTCCTCCCTCATCTCTCTATAAAAGTGCCGATGCTCGCCCCGCATCTGGCCAAACAAATCATGTTGCTCACGAGATAGTCGATGGTAGATGTCCTCCTGATGCGCGTGTACCCCCGCCCAAGTGTCCGGATAAGCATAATCATAGGGGGCGGCACATAAGGAATGTCCCGTGCAGCATTGTGGTCCATAGCATCGCCTCCCTCGACGTGGTGCTCCTCCTCATGCTGGCCTGCTCCGCCACCCTCCAGAATCTGTATAGCTGCTTGTTGTGGTACTGACGTGCACTTTGTCGTGGTGTGCACTCAAAATAATAATCAATACAACACTAATACGTAGTATAGTGTAGTAATGTTCGTATCCACAGGGAAAGGAATACTTTTCTTTTTATAAAACTAGTGACAAAAAGGGGGGTTTTAGTTTGATTTGGTTTAATTAATTAAACACGAAGATGAACGACTTATGAGTTTTAATTAATGAGAAGGGGACTTGGCTTTCCTTTTATCCACTTAATGAAATGTTCGTCGATCCCGATTATATCTTTAACTATCCTCCTCTCGAATACTCAATCGAGGAGTATATCCAATTCATCGAGGGTAGTTATTAATAACGAGACGCGTTCATTAATAAAACTTACTACCGAATCAATATAGAACACGCGCCGTATATTCATTCGATAGTGGCAATAAAATCAAGATGAAAACGATTGAGATTGATAACCTCAACACAAGTGGTTTATTGGTT